CTAATTTATTAGGCATGTATGATCCCTTAAAGTTCATTTAAAAATTATATTAAAAATTATATAATATATATACATGCCTAATAAATTAGTTCAAATAATTTTCGATTTTTCACTTAATTTATTTATTTATTTACATGTATTTACGGGCAGTGCCCTTTCGTACATAAGTACTTAATAATAAAGTTCATAGCCAAACAAATTTTTTGAAAGAAGTATGGACACATGCAAAATAATTAATTATAGCAAAATATAAGTTCACGCAACGTAGCTACAAAGTTATTAATTGAGACTCCATAAAAATCAATCCTATCATTGTACAAGTTAGCCTTTCTAGTTAGCCGTGGTATTACAGAGTTATCGCTATAGTTAGTACGGTTTAGTTGAAGTTTGAACAAAGTTGGATGTCTCACAGGTTTAAAAGGTACAAAAAAGTCTATTAAGGACAAAATCGCAGGACAATTTATCATTCCATTAATAATTTTAAAAAGAAAGAGTAAGTCAATATAAAGAAATCTCTGTCTAAGTGAAGGGATTCTTAATACGCGTCTAAGTTCAGAGTAATCATGACTATAAGTATCAAAAGTTATTCCCAAACACCTCGCAGCAAAACGCAGAAACTTATTCTGTACACGCTCAATTTCAGTCAACAAAGATTCCTGATAAGGTAGCCAAATAATACAGGCGAACTCGAATATTGATCTAACTAGTGAAACATAAAGAATCTTTAAAGCTAATGGATTTTTGAAGCAAGATGCACTTCTTGTGACAAAGCCCAAGGTCCTGTTAGCCTTCGTAATAATATTTTCAATATGCGCTCGAAAGTCAAGAGCGGAATCTAAAGTAACACCCAGGTCTCGCACCATGCTCACTCTAGTAACAGTCTCATTACCAATCTTATAATCAAACTTAATAAAAGCTTTTTGTTTAGTAAATGAGATAACGCTACATTTTTTAGTATTTAAAAAAAGATTGTTTTTTATTGACCAATTTACAAGTTTATCAAGATCAGCCTGGAGATGAATACAATCTTGCTCAGAGGTAATAGTTTTATATAATTTGAGATCGTCCGCGAAAAGTAAAAACAAACTGTGATTAAATAAGGGATGAATTTTATTAATAAAAAATAAGAAGAAAAGAGGACCAAGGTGCGAGCCCTGAGGTACTCCTGAAGTTGCCAGAAAAACATCAGAAAAGTCACAATCAATGCGAACAGATAAAAATCTTTCATTGAGGTAGCTATTGACCCAATTAATCATACCGCGAGAAAAACCAAGAGCCTCGAGCCTTGCCACCAACAATGCATGATCAACTTTGTCAAAAGCCTTCGCGAAATCTGTGTATATAGCGTCAACCTGCATAGATTTTTCAAGACTAGAGATTGTATAATTAGTGAACAAAGTAAGATTGGTTAAAACTGACCTACGCTTCATAAAGCCATGCTGCTCATCAATTAGTAAATGCTCCGTTTGACAGTATAATTCATCAAATACAATGCTTTCAAAGATTTTAGAGACGGCGCCAAGCAGAATTATGGGCCTATAGTTAGTGACGTTACTCTTATCCCCGTCCTTGAAAACAGGTACGACTATACCTCTTTTCCAGTTTAACGGAAATATACCAGATGATAATGAGCGATTAAATAATATAAATAAAGGTTCAACAAATGCAGAACAGCATGACTTTAAGAGAGAAGGCGGAATATTATCTGGTCCAGCACCTTTATTTACATCCAAATTCTTTAGTTTTGATAAAATTGTTTTTCTATCTATAGTAAAATTACCAATAATACAACTATTCACATGATCAGAATCGGAATTTAATACATTGTCAGAAGGTAATGTATATACTGAACTAAAGTAGTCACGAAAGAGATTAGCAATATTATAATTAGTGTTCGCTGTTAAATCGCCATAAAATACATTTTTTGGAATTCTTGATTCATGTCGCAAAGTATTAACGTAATTCCAAAATTGTTTAGGATTTGAAATAACAGAATTTTCTACTTTAGTTATGTAATTATTAAAACATGATTTAGATAAGGATTTACACATTTCGCGTAGTTTAGAGAATTCTAAGTAATCTATTGGGTCATTGGTACATTTAAATTTTCGATGCGATATCTTTTTCAAAAAGACTAAACGTTTAAGTTCGTGAGAAAACCATGGCATGAAAGTATCATTATAAATTTTTTTAATAGGTACAAAAAAGTTAAAAGCGGTATACACATAGTCATAAAAAGCAGAGACAGCGTCATCCAAATTAGTAGAATTTAAAATTAAATCCCAATCAGCATTACTTAGAAAACTGAATATACCACCTAAGTTAGCTCTAGTGAAATCAAGTTTAAAATAATTTTTATTTGAGGATATAACAACAGTAGGTACCAAAAAATTGTGAATTGTAAATATTAAAGGCGGATGATACTGATCAATAGGTAGGATAGGATCAAAGGATTTATCAAGAGAATAATTTAAAGAATTATAAAAAACTAAGTCTAAAATAGATCCGGCGAAATTAAAAAAAGAGTTTATTTGAACCAGATTTAGATAATCTAAAGAGTTTGATAAGCGGTGAACGATGTCCTTACAGCGGCGAGATGAATCAGGTGTTGGCACACATGATGGTCCATTTTGAGGATCAGTGCTCCATGTGACGAGAGGCAAGTTAAAGTCACCAATAATACAAAAAATGGCAGTTGGGTAGAGAGTATACAAATTTTCGATTATAGAGCAAAACGTTGAGTATATTGCCAAATTAGAATTTGGGGGAATGTAAGCTGTACCAATTATATATGTTGTTTGATTGAATTTAAATTTGACGAAAATGTGTTCCACAGAAAAAATATTAGTTACTATAAGAGAGGCGTGTAATATTCTATTGCAGGCTATTAGTACCCCACCACCGCGTAAAAAGTCACTTGATTCTTTGCACCTGTCACAACGAAAAATATTATAATTTAAGAGACCTAATTCTGATGAGTTAAAAGCTGTGGTAAGCCACGTTTCAGTAAAAATAACAATATTATGAGAAAAAGTTGGAAAAGATTTGCGTAATAAATTTAATTTAGATCTTAGGCCTCTAACATTCTGGTAATAGATAGAAATGTCACGTAAACTTGATGTAGAGGTGGTATGTGGGCCGGTAGGCGGGGTGTCATGTGTAGAGAGGCCTGAAACCTTGGATCGAGATACGTTGATCTCAACACACACATCACTATTCGGCGAGACTATTTCTTCATGGGCGGGTTTGATGAGGAGCTGACTGGTTTCTGCGCAGATATTATACGCGGCTCCCCGCGACGTTAGGAGATTTGAAGACCCACTTCTCCCTTCTTTTTCCTCTCTAGCATCAGCTGTTTGGTTTCGTTGTAGCGACGCATTTGCATGGGAGTCTGATCCCAAGACAGAGAAAGATTCACTGGCAGGAATTGAGGTAAAGTTGTGTTGGTTTGTTTGAATATTCTGAGTGCTTTCAACACGGCTGTGACACTTGATTCCTCCACGAAAGATATTCTCAGTGGTCGAGGACGTGGAGAAATCTGTTGGAGTTTACCAAGACGAGTTAGTGAGCGAAATTTAGGGGTAATCTCTAATGAAAGAATACTTAAAAATTTTGTAATAAAAGTTGAGTCAAAATCGGAAACTGTATTGCTGGAAGCTACATCATTTTCTGGAAGATTGAAAAACAATAAATTCGACTTGCGATAATTTCGCTCATCCAATTCCTTCAAGCAATCCGCCGTCACTGTTTCCGAACAACTCTTAAAATCATTTTTTAGTAACGCGACATCATTTTTAATACCTTCCATATCTTCCTCGAGGACATCCAAACGGGACAAGGCTTTTTCGATATTCCCCACTCGGTCAGAGACATCGTTAAGAGTGACTTTGAGAGGTTTTAATTGTAGCGAAAATTGACGTAGCTGTTCGGTCATCATGGTAGACAAGTCATCCTTCGTAATTGGCGCCAACAAGCTGGGAGAGGGGGTCCTCGAGCAACATTTTCTTTTTGTTTTAATGCAACCAGGGTGATAAGGTACATTACACTTATCACACCCAACAACTTCCCTTTTAATATCATCACCACATCCGCGACACATCTTATCATTAAAATCCAGAACAGTTTTATCCATGACACTTTTAGGTTAGAAACACAATATCGATCGAAAAAGATGCCAAGAAAAAAGTAAAAACTCGAAAAAATAGTCAAGACTAATAAAATAAAAAGTCCACTATCAATCAGTAATAAAAAGATAACTCTCGCACATACTATAAATTGTTAAACAGTATAAAATAAGAGAGACTACACCGAACACGTTGTGTCGAATACTTCGCACATGCGCGATAATATAATATAATATATAATAAAAGTATACAAGGACTATTAAACGCAATTAAATAAGCAATACTGAGAAGAAGGAATAACAGATTCCTGTAAAGAATATGTTTCTCAAAGTATGTACTTTCGTAATGTAGTGTCAATTAAAAGTAATTTAGACTTAGAAATTGTCAGATCAATAACATAATGATACATAGTAAGAAAAAATGAGTAGATTGGATCAACAGTGGATAAAATGCAAAATTTCTAATCATTAGTTTCTTGCGCCGCCAGAGATTTTATTTTCCTAAAAATTAAAAATTTATAGTTATACTACAAATATAATATTTAACATAAGACGAAGTGAACAAAAATAAAATATTTACTTTTCTTTTTCTCTTTTGTATCTATGATTTGAAAAACGAAACCATTCCGCAGCATGAGTATTAAAATCTGCTTCAGTCAAGTTATTATAAGAAGCACAGATATTTTTTGTAATTTAAAATCAAATTTCTAATAATTCGTTTTAATTTAAAAAGTTGGAAAGTTGAATAAATTTAAGGAATGTCTTTCTTATAGCACATAAATGTAAAAAAATAATTTTATTTTATACATATTTAACAAGTTTTAAAGTTATAAGAAAAATATTTTTTTATGAGAAATATTCTTCTGGCAGCAGATAATTAGTTAAAAGATAAAAAAAAATTTTTCTAAAAATAAAAAAATGTTCAAATTATATATAAATACCTCTAATGCATTTCATAAACGGTAAGTTCATAGCTGCAGGTTTATCATTTTGATTCTGCCCTTTCCAGGTATATTTCCGGGCACATTTATCTTTTATCACTTTCGTCAGCACATTGTAAACGATGTCTTTTGGAGAAGTCCCTCCAATCTCGTTATTATATCATCTTGTTTCATTTCAATACTTGCCCACGTGCGCGTTGCTTTTTCAAGTAATTTTTTAATATCCCCGTTAGAATCAGCTAAAAAGAATAATATTAAATAAATTTTTAATGAAAAACGAATCTACAAATAGTCATAATAACTAAAAATTATAATTATACAAATATACCTGAAGGTGATTTATCATTATGGTCATCAGGTGATTCTGTTGTTTTCCTCGATTGGAAGGAATCTAAAACATTAAAAAAATACATTTGTAAGTACTACAAATTAAAGAAAAAATAACACCTTATTTGAAATTTGAAAGTTAAATAGTAAAAAAATTTGCGACGCATAAATTCGCTAGGTTAGTGGGGAAAAAGGACATCTTGGTTTTTTGTTCAAAAAGAGGACACCTTGCTTTCAGGTTGAAAAAAATTGCACCTGGAAAATAATTTTTTCTTTGAGAAATTTTTTTGTTAATAGCACTGATATAGATATTTATTTTTTTTACTCAACTGAAGTAAATTACATAAGTAAAAAATTAAATTAAGGGAGTAATAAATAAATATCTATAATATCAGTGCTACTAACGAAAAACTGTCTCCAAAAAAAATTATTATCCAGGTGTACTTTTTCAACCTAAACGCGAAGTGTCCTTTTTTTGAACAAAAATCCGAGGTGTCATTTTTTCATTAAACCAGCGAAATATGAAATACAGTAAACATTTTATAAAAAATATACAATACCAGTTATTTTACTTGATCCAGAGGTACCTTCTGTTGTATTAGATTTTTCAAAAGTTTTTGTACTTGATTTTTTACTGTTAAAATTTCTGGCAACAGCATCGAATTCTTCGGGTACACTGAAAAAGTCTTAAGCGATCAGCAGTTCCAACAGTGGAAATGCAGTAGCTCTTTGCTTTGGAGTGTCTGGAGCATGATTTTGAGCAACCTCTATGCTAAATGTTGGGCGAGCAGATGTTCCACGTTATTGTTACCAAGATTTGGTGATGCTGCAGCATCAGACTTGGGCACTCAGAGCACCCAAGATGGGAAACAGTTAGCCCACAATGAATTTGTGCAGAATCTCTTTATTTGGTGCTTCTCATACATGCGTTGGGAATTCTTAACGCCCAAGACTTTTTCAGTGTACTTCTGGTACAACAATCTCGTATTCACTTTCAGAGGGATGTACAACGCCATTAGAATGTGTCCTTGACTTTTTTGTATCTATTAATATAAACATAAAATCATTAGTATGTTAAAGAATCCACAGTAAAAATTATTTTTGGATGTCGCAGTTTATTACATACTGAAATCTGAATTTACTGTTTTTTAAATTAAAATTTGATTTTAAGAAGGAATTGGACAAACAGTCTAAACAAAAGTCCAAATACATTTTAATGCCCTTTGAAATAGAAATCACAGATTTTAACGTATTTTTTCCAGATGAGGTATGAAAAACTATATTTTAACCATTAAAAATTGAAATTGGGTAAAATATTTTTAAAATTGTTATTTCGAAACGATTTTCTACTTTGAGTTCAAAAAGAAAATTGTTTCAAAATTTAATTTTTTTAATTTGCACCCAATTACAATTTTTAATTACTCGTTTTGGTTAAAATATAATTCTTCACCTTTCGCCAGAAAAAAATTACATTAAAATATGTTTTCCATTTTAAAAGGCAATAAAATGCATTTGGATTTTTACTCAAACTGTCTGTCCAATTGCCCCTTAAATTATAAAAACTTGTTTGTAAACAATATGTAATTCTTACGATCGGGCATTTCCTCGTTAGAAAATGATTGTGGTCGTTTCCTCGGCCTCTTACCTCCATTGTCCGTCACGTCTTCAGCAGATTCAAATGTAGCATCTTGTGCCCTTTTACGAGCTGAATTGTAGGTAGCTGTAGAAATAAACTATTTGTTTAGATTTGTACTATAATTCACATCAGTTTTATTATTAAAGACTTGATTGTAATTTAATTAAAATGGATTGAATATAAATAAATCTAAGTCAATCCCTACATTGCGGTACATATATGCACATGTGAAACAAGTTTCTGATAAAATTTTCAGCACAAATTTTATGCTTTTTACTTTTACAATTACAATATCCCCTAAAATATTTTTGTTTTAATATACGAAATAACATATACAATTATAAATGATGTTACTAGATCCCAAATGTAAATAAAAAAAGAAAATGGCATTGAATGTTGGTTAACAGAATTATAATTTTCGAATAAACATATTTTTTGTCAAAATTCTTTCACAGTACATTTCTATTTACATTGTCGTATATTTTTTATTAAAAACAAGTACTGGAGATTATAAAATTTTATGTAAAAATAATTTAAAATATTAGGAAAATAAACAAAAGAGGAACCAAATGAAAATTTTTATAACAATAAAAAATACTTACAACAGTACTTGTCCAAAGTGACATCGTACGAAGTCCAACATGATTCCTCAACTTCAGCTTTTTGTTTTATTTGCTTCGCAATATTTCTATCGTCCTCTGGCCACCAACATTTATAAGAACCATCACCGTTTACAATGAGCCAAGAAGTCGGGACCTCCGAATACGTTCCATTGGAATGAAAACACACTATTGCATACTCTTTATAATCATTGGAAACCTTTAGAATAAAAAACGGGAATTATAATGAAATCAATTATTATTTCCACTTTATCAATAATACCTATCGCTCAGTTTTGGAAGTTAAAAACAGAATTTTGAGATATATTAGGCATAATGAATATTTGAAAGAAACATGAATAAAACAAACTAAATACTTATAATTTATATGTTTACTTACGTTGTCACTCATGATTATTGTCCGAAAAATCACCTAATCGAATAAACTGACGTAATTAACAAAATACAATATTTTTCTCAAGTTACACTGTACATGTTATGCTGAACGCAGGATGAAACACGCTCGCTCGACCTGATAATTCGAATGTCGATTCGATACATCGAAATTAGTCTCAAGAAGAAGGGCATTTAGCTAACTTCATTCGAAATAATTTTCAGTTGTTTTATTTTTCAAGCCTTTTTATAAAGCGAAAAATCAAATTGGATTATTAAATATATTTGTTTAAATCAGTATTCACAAATTTTTTAACAAATAAAGCAATTAAATTATTATATTTCATAAGTTTTTAAATCTTATAGCTGCGAAAAACACATGCGCGCAGTACAAATATGGAACACCTTTTCTATAAGCCTTGGCGTTGACTGTCCAATGATAAACCATGGTGTATAAATATAGGATATAAAAACGTGGTTAATTACAAGTTTTATTGGTGTAATCAGATGAATTTATTAAGCTGCAAACAAAATTCATTTTATTTATATAGGTATGTGTAAATTCAATGACCCAAATTTATATTTCTATTCATATATGTAGATTGTGTGATTTTTTTAAGTTGGTGTAATATTTTTAAGGTTATGTTATAACCTCATACACATGTGATTCATTCATTGATAATTGTAATTATATAAAATTTATATTATTTCAATGAAATGGCAAGGAATATTGTTAAAAAAGATTTTTTACCTTACTCCCTACTGAAAATTCTCATATAGGATCTTATATAGGATCTCACATAAATTCATATATTAAAATCCACATAAAATCCTATGTGCCATGTAAGGAACTATATAGGATCCTATGAAAAATCATATAGGAAATTGAGACATGATTTGAAGTAGGATTCGATGTAAATTCTTATAAACGTATTCTTAGGTAATAAATTATGTAAATTCCTATGTGAAATCCTACAATTTTTTCTGGTCACATTTTGTCCTTAAATTTCTTATGTCAATTTCCTTCGTGTTTTCTCACTAAAAAACATACCAAAATTCATTGCTCAATCCTTAACCAGAAATTTTCCTATATCAAATCATACATCATATCTTTTTTCGATTCTTGAATAAAAAATTATTACAAATAATCTGACATGAAATCATATTGAAAATCCTCACGTGAGATCATATATATGATTGATTTGAACATAAAAAATCATATAGGATTTCATGTAGATTCTGAAATATTTATATTTATGATTTCGCATAGAATTATATAAAGGAAACAATATAGGATTTCATATAGGAATTTTCAGTTGGCAGACAGCAGTTTATAAAAATTAAAAATTATTTAATTAAAAATCAAATAATATTACTGCAATTCATCTGAAAAGAAAAGAAATTGTGCTTTGCAATACACCTTCTGAGTTAGAGTCTCAGCTTTTATAGTATTCAAGACTGATCTCAACTGTGAGAAAAAAAATTAGCACCATCTGGCGGCGTAAAAGTGGAACTATGATGATATACATCTATATTTGCATTTCCCATATAATTTCCTATATAATTTCCGACATAATTTCTTATATAATTTCCGACATGGTATCTTAGATCCACAATTAAAACAATGAAATCCACACATGACATCCCACATAATTTCCTATGTGATGAATTTACATGATCATATAGGATCCTATATAGGATTTTATATATGATCCTACATAAAATTTTACATGGATTTTTATATACATTTCTGTATGATGAATTCTTATATGAGATCCCATATAGGAATCCATATGAGTTCATACGTAGGATCTTGTATACGATCCTACATAAAATCCTATATAGGATCTCATGTATGATTTGATATAGGAAAATTTCTGGTTAAGGATTGAGCAATGAATTTTGGTATGTTTTTTAGTGAGAAAACACGAAGGAAATTGACATAAGAAATTGAAGGAAAAAATGTGACCAGAAAAAATTGTAGGATTTCATATAGGAATTTACATAATTTATTACCTAAGACTACGTTTATAAGAATTTACATCGAATCCTACTTCAAATCATGTCTCAATTTCCTATATGATTTTTCATAGGATCCTATATAGTTTCTTACATGACACATAGGATTTTATGTGGATTTTAATATATGAATTTATGTGAGATCCTATATAAGATCCTATATGAGAATTTTCAGTAGGGCTATCTTTATCACATTCTCTTAAAAACGTCTTAAATTCCTAACATCTATTTCCCCAGACGTCTGACGAAATGAACAATTTAAATTGTTTTGTCAGTTATATCGGATTTTAATACTATAAAGTGAATTGAAAACATTATTTTCTAAAAATTCTGAAAAACATTTTTGACAGCTTGCACTTTTGACATATTATACTCACTTATCTTATACTTACCACAAATGATTCTTTGTATTTTTTCCTTCCCTAGAAAAAAACGGATCATATTTTTTATTTCATCAGTATTTAACATTTATTTTTCTTTAATAGGAAAATTATTGATTTCAATTATTTTTTCAGTCAGATAACTGTATAATAAAGTAATTTAAATTTTTTGACTTCATTTTTTAAAAAAATATGTATATTTTTTAGCAAGCATGTGAATGTCAAAACTTTGTTTACGAGGAAGCAATTTTTACTTCTTAATATGTACAAAATTAAAATAATATTTTTATAAATATTATTAGAATGCAATGAAAAAATAAAAAGAATTTTTGGTAATTTTTTGAACAGGTATTTGATAGAGTTGTAAAATATGGTTAAAAGAAGTTAGTAAACATTATTTCACCAACTAAAAATATTCTTTCATTTTTAAGCAAATGTAAGTTGTAAAAGTTGCTTTAATGTTTTAAATAATTTAGTCTTATTTATGTATTTTATATAAATAAATTTTTACAAAGACATTTTTATAGGTACTTAAGTATTAATTTTTACTTTTTAATTTCTTTTCTAATAAAAATTTAACTATTTAAATTTCTTAAAGAAGAAAACAGAAAAATTAAATATATTTATGGTAAACTTGATATTTTATATACCTAGTGTACTTTTTTTCACCTTTTTTTGTAAAGGAAATTTCATTGCAAATTCAATAAAGATATACACGTAATGAAGACTACACGTATCAACAACACCAATTGTTTATTAAATTTTTTTTGATTAATTTGATTTTTATATTATAATTTTTATTTTTTGTTATTATGAGAATTTAATTCATTACTATGTTTACTATTACTGAATTATGACATATATATATATATATAAATCTTTAAAAAAAATAAATAAAATAAAAAAAAAATAATACAAAACTTACCCCGTACAAATACACGAGAAGGAATTATGTCTACAGGGATCCGGAAATGAAGAAGACAGCATAATTGTTCCTTTTCACAATCCCAGAAGATCATTTTACATTTGATGGGTCCTAACAATTATTTCAGATAATTCCCCGCGTAGAAATGGTCAACCCAGGGAAGACCCTGGGAGAAGGTTCGAAGTAAGATGTAAAAAACCTTGGCGAATCCATAGGCTAGGGCAAATACATTCCCTGGGAGAACCCTTGCTTATGATCGTTTCCCATGGTCTGGGAAATGCCTGGCTGAAGAGCAGAAATACATTTCTTTGATTGTAATGAAATTAATGCACTTTAACCCTTGGCGAACCATGGATTGAGACAAAAATGTTTTTACCCTGGGTTAACCATGGCAAAACATGTTTTGTCTTTTTTATTGAATTTTTCTGACTTTTACCCTTGGCGAACCATGGATTGAGACAAAAATGTTTTTACCCTGGGTTAACCATGGCAAAACATTTTTTGTCTTTTTATTGAATTTTTCTGACTTTTACCCTTGGCGAACCATGGATTGAGACAAAAATGTTTTAACCCTGGGTTAACCATGGCAAAACATTTTTTGTCTTTTTTATTGAATTTTTGTCACTTAAACCCTTGGCGAACCATCGATTAAGGAACAATGTTTTTACCCTGGGATAACCATGGCAAAACATTTTTTGTCTTTTTTATTGAATTTTTCTGACTTTTACCCTTGGCGAACCATCGATTAAGGAACAATGTTTTTACCCTGGGATAACCATGGCAAAACATTTTTTGTCTTTTTATTGAATTTTTCTGACTTTTACCCTTGGCAAACCATGGATTAAGACAAAAATGTTTTTACCCTGGGTTAACTATGGCAAAACATTTTTTGTCTTTTTTATTGAATTTTTCAGACTTTAACCCTTGGCAAACCATGGATTAAGACAAAAATATTTTTACCCTGGGTTAACCATGGCAAAACACTTTTTGTCTTTTTTATTGAATTTTTCTTACTTTACCCTTGACAAACCATGGATTAAGACAAAAATGTTTTTACCCTGGGTTAACTATGGCAAAACACTTTTTGTCTTTTTTATTGAATTTTTCTTACTTTAACCCATGACGATCCACTGAATGAGAAAAAAAGGTTTTACCCTGGATGAACCATGGCAAAACATTTTTTGTTATTTTTATTGAATTTTTGTCACTTAAACCCTTGGCGAACCATCGATTAAGGAACAATGTTTTTACCCTAGGATAACCATGGCAAAACATTTTTTGTCTTTTTTATTGAATTTTTCTGACTTTTACCCTTGGCGAACAATGGATTAGACAAAAATGTTTTTACTCTGCGATAACCATGGCAAAACGTTTTTTGTCTTTTTTATTGAATTAACTCTTTTGAACACCCATCGATCCACGGATCGAAACTTACGGCAAATTAAAGTAAGAGCAAAAAATTCTTTTACCTTTGTTGAATTTGAGTAAAAGATTTTTATACGTTTTTTTAAAAATTAGCGCCTTTGGATTTTAGGTTAAAGAGGACAAAAACTTAAAAAATTACTTATCTTTGTAAGGGTGTTTTCTTATTTTTTTTTACATTAAGACAATATACGGAATAATTAAATATTTTTTGAAGTAATTTTGTATTTTATTTAATTAACTAATTTTAATCAATAATAACATTTATTTTTAGAAATTTTGTTTGTTTTACAAATGAATTTATTTACAAGCATAGAGAGATTAGACATTTTTTGTGTCAACAGTAAAATGTAAAAATTGATTTTTATCGGACAAATGAATACCAATTCATCTTAAAATAAGTATCACACACTATCTTGTTTATTCCACTAGATATATATTTACTACGATGTAATTGTAGAATATAATAACAATTATTATTTTTGTTATATTTATTTAGTCTATATAATGCAGAT